TAAAAGGTATTTATGCTTATAGAAAATAACCAAAATGATAATTATGACCCATTATTAGGAGTAGTGAACAGTTACAAAACTGCACATTAATAATAATGGACAGTTACAAAAACTGCACATTAATTGAACATTAACTGATGTATAATTGTTCCAGACACGAGACGAGAAGCAAGACAAACCAGAGCCTMTCTGGTYCTTAACAACCAGAAGCAAGACCAACTAGAGGCCCTMTGGTCCTTAACAACCAGAACTTCTGGTCTTACCAACTAGAGCTTCTGGTCAAGTTTTTCACTACATTGCAAGRGGTAGCGCCCCTTGACCCYCACCATTWCGTCRTGTCTGGGGTCATACTCGTTTTATAACAAGTAYGCACTCTGCARYTCCTATCTCCTGACTTGTATTAGAACATAGTATAAGACCTCATTGAAACTCGTTATTACTTYCAATTACACTTAAACTGCCTGGTGACATTAAAATCACCAACAGAAACACACACTAATGCTCAAATATAAGAACAAAAYATATGAAACAATATAAATAATACCTTAAAAATCAAATTCATTGGATTGTTGTGGTTATKTTTTTTGGATCAGGTTTTCACATGTGTTACTTAATCTATARAACAATATACGAGCTGATTTTCATGCTTTTTAATCTTTAGACATTTTCTATATGATTTACAATGTATGCATGTTATATACTATTGAGAGATTGTGTGCATACATATATATATCTTTCAAATGCAAACCAGTAAATACATATAAATTATTTTAACTGTCTATTTAATTTAATAAATATTTAGTTTCATAAATATTTCGATTATCTATAYTATATTATAAAGCATTTGACAAAAACTCTTAAAAATCATTTTTTATGTATGAAGTATTGTTTATTAATGCATATTACTTAAAATTTAAGATTACAAGTAAATTGTGCGTAAATACAATGAATTAAAACTCCATGTTTAAATTCATGTAACTAACTATAGATAAACATAATCAAGTAGAGAATAAACATATCATTTTAATTATAAGAAATCTAAAATATAATTATGATAATCATTGAGTTCTAACAAAATCAATATCTTATAAAAATTATATTGTTAAGCCAAAAATAATTTACTTCGCTATTAGACCTAAATTAAGTTATAATAAAAAAAAAATTGGATTAAATAAATTGTACAAAAAAAAGGAGGAATTTGAAACAGTTAATTTGATATTATTTAATATTGATATATTTTTTCAATTTTTTTATGAAATCTTCAAATTTATTTTTATCTAAAAGTAAAAACATTATCGTTATTGAAACCACATAAACCGTAATATATATTAACAGAGACAAAAAATAAAACGAAACATTAAGATGAAGATATATCTCATTGCATTATGCAAATACCCTTCTAGTTATAATGAATAAATTTTGATAACTTCTGATAAATATCTTGATTTTTTTAATATATGATATTTATTCTCTACAACGTTACACAATTTGTATGAGAAACTCCATCCAAATAATAATATATAATCAAATGGCGGAGGTGGGATTAATTTAATTGATTGAATGCATCGAGCAACTCGCCGGTTAGATTGGAAGGAAGGACGAATCTTTGACTTTTATCAAAGTCAAAATCTACTTCTTCCATACATTTTCAATCTTTAATTTTAATATAATTTTTATAATATATATATTCGAAAAAAAATACAATAAACCATGGGAAAAAAATATAAAGTTAAGTCCCCTTTTAGAAAATAAATACAATTAATTATATTTTTAATTATTGTGGTTGTCATCTTGTTTCGATTTTGATCCATATGACTAACAACGTTAACAATATTAGTTAGCTCAAGAACATTTGTTATTTTTCTCATTTGTTTCATTTCCAATTAAAAATTAGACAAAAGTATTCTTGTATTTAACCACAAAGATTCTGTCTGATTGGTTTGAGATTGACTCCAAAGATCAAAAGTACTTGGAGGTCATGTTCAAATCCAAGGAGGAATAAAAATCTTCTTGTGGCCATGGAGGTTCAAATGCTTTGACTCTGGCCTATCTGCAAAGCAGGTGGTAGTCCTGAGATTAATAAAAAAAAGTATCCTTATATTTACGAATACGCGCCACATCCCTTTTCTTCCTCAACTATAGACCTCATCGGCCACCACGGGTTTGTTGGTTCCGACATTTGATCATCCCCTTCTTTAGCCATTCACAGCTCCAATATCCTCTATAGATCTGAGTTTTTAATAGTCAAATAACATTTTCGGTGTTCCTTTCTCCGTGCATAGGTACCATTTTCGGTGCCCCTTCTGCTTTCACACACACTAGACCTAGGTTTTCTTCAATATGTCAACAAATTAAAAATCAAAACGAATCGGTGACTTTCTTTCATGTTTCACACACACACCATTAAAACAAACGTAAAATAACTCTAGAATACACTAATATAAAGGAAAAGAACAAACCCAAACTCTTTGTATGTTCTACTGTGTTCTTCGGTTTTCACCTTAATACAACAAAAAAAGATCCACAATGGTGGTTCTACACGCACCAAATCTTGTATGCACAAACAAACATGATATTTCGGACATGCATATAGAAATGGATATGACTGATAAGTGTGTATGGGGAAGATGAGGTGTTGTAAGTGTGTTTATCTCACGCACACAGAGACAGAAGACGACGGTTTCACCATTGGAGGGAGTTTTTTCAAAGTTGGGTCGTTGAGTGTCACTGTTGAGCCTTCATCAGAATAGAAGATTTGACGATTAAATACTTAGTATTAAATATACAATATGCCATTTGGAGGTACTTCAAATGAATATATCAAATGGAAGCCTAGCGCCTGATCAACCAAAACTCACAAGCGTAAGATGATCCTGACCAACTAATAAAGCCACAAACAGATGAGCTAAATCGTCTGCTAAAATGACAACACCTATTAGTCATCAACTAAAGATATGTCTTTTCAAGAGACAATAAGGACGCAGGTATACTGTCATATCAAAATACCTTTGAGTTAACGGTTGTTAATTGGAGAGATCAATCGGAAATATAACAAAGCTAAACTTTTGTAGTTTGATAATAAACTGAAAATTAATGAAGATTTATGATCAAAAATGAAAATTATATATATATCTATACTATATTATAAAACATTTGACAAAAACTCTTAAAAATCATTTTTTAGGTATGAAATAATGTTTATTAATACATATTACTTAAAATTTAAGATTGCAAGTAAATTATGTGTAAATACAACTTATTAAAACTTCATGTGTGAATTCGTGTAACTAACTGCAGATAAACATCTCATTTTATATATAAAAAATATAAAATATAATTAAGATAATCATTAAGTTCTAACAAAAATATTTAATTATTATTTTTATTAAAAATTATATTATTAAACCAAAAATATAAAAAAAATGAATTAAAGAAATACACAAACACATGAGAAATTTTAAATAGTTAGTTTGGTACTAATATAATATGGTTTTTTTCAAATTTTTATGATATATCTGCATATTTATATTTTATTCAAAAATAAAAATATTATTATTTTTTCTTAAAACCACATAAACTGTATCATAACATCGACTGAGACAAAAAAAACAAAACATTAAAATCAAGATGTATCTTAGTTTGTTTGAGTACCTTTTTAGTATGTATATGAATATTTTATTTACAAAATCTTGTAAACTAATATTGTTTTTCGATTTGTCTAAATGAAAATTTAAAATTATGTATTTTAATAAATCTATTGGATTTAAACTCTATATTAATCGGAAGACAAATATGCAGTGGTCTCTCTCTGCAGGACCATCTCCGATAATATTCCGATACCTTCGCCATATCCACCGGCCCCCACTTCACCTATCCTCTTACACAACTTCAAAATCCACTGGCTGTGGTCTATGCTGCAGTTGTAGTTGCACCCTACTCTACTTGACTCACAAATGATTAAGTACCTCTTCGGTTGCGCCGGAGGGAGCGGCTACGGTTCCAGATCCACCGCCGACCAAGTCACTCATAACTGCCATAGTTTATGCTCCTGCACCGCCATCATCACCGGTAAAAATCCTGATCTATAATCATACTCGTATTCATGCACATGCACACTCATCATCGTCGTATTGTTACTTTTTAGTGGAGAGATGTGGAGAATCCTTTTCGTTTTTTTTGTTTGTTTCAGTTTCTACATATACAAATGAAACCTAATCTGATCTAATCTAGTGTTTTGTGTTTATTGATTTATGAAAAATTGATTCAGTTTCATCTTCTCAGGTGCGACTTCCGGGATCGGAGCTGAGACGGCTCGAGTCCTGGCTAAGCGCGGTGCTCGTATCGTGATGCCTGCTCGGAATCTAAAATCTGCCGAGGAGACAAAGGCTCGTATCGTGTCGGAGTTTCCTGATTCGGAGATTATTATCATGACTCTTGATCTTAGCTCGCTTCGTTCCGTCAGAAGTTTTGTTTCGGATTTTCAAGCTCTTAATTTGCCTCTTAATCTTCTCATGTAATCAACTTGATTTTTAACTCCTTCATTATCGTTCTTTTGTCGATATAGTGATTCTATCTCTCTTTCTCTCAAACATACTCATGAGTCGCTCAATTTAATCGCAGAAACAACGCCGGAAGATTTTCTCACGATCACTGTATATCGGAAGACGGAATGGAGATGACGTTTGCAACTAATTACCTAGGTAAGTTTTCTGCGAAAACGATAACAACCTGTCAGATTGCACGGTGAATTGAAAGCGTGATTAGTGTATGCGTATCATGTGTTTCGATTGTCCAGGTCATTTTTTGTTAACGAAATTGCTGATGAAGAATATGATAGAGACGGCAAAAGTAACCGGCATACAAGGTCGTATAGTGAACGTATCGTCCAGCATCCATACCTGGTTTTCCGGCGACTTGATTCGTTCCCTCGGTCAAATAACTCGAGATGAAAGGTACTGCTTCACAAGTAATCACTAAAACAGAAAATCGAGAAGAAGACAATTAACGGGATTTTCATCTAATAAAACCCCAGATTTTGTCTACTTTTTTCCGTATAAAGAAAAAGCATCTAGTAACAATAATGAACAAGAAACGAAGCAAATAATCTCTAAATTAAAGGATATTGTTGGATATTAATTTACTGATGATTGGGTAGATGCGACACTACTCCAATACAATTACTGTCTGATTATTATATATATACTCGATCGCCTTCACACACACACACATATATATATATATATATATATATATTATATTCTTGTAAGCTATGAATGTGAGTGACGATGAGATTATTATAATATTGGTTTTGACTAGTTCTTCTGCATATTTGTCTTGTGTATATATGCAGTCAGTACGATGCAACACGTGCATATGCAATCTCGAAGCTCGCTAACGTTTTGCATACCAAGGAACTTGCTCTCAGACTAGAGGTATATATATTATATATATATATACATATATATATATATGTTATAAGATTATATATATATTAATTCCCAATTGAACAAGAATATAAAAAGATTTTGCTGATTAAAAGACTAAACTTGTTTTCTTCCCGTTTCTTCTTTCCTGGACATACATGCACCGGACAACATGGCCTTTCACTATTACCATGTTTCTATGTCTCTATCTGTTTCTATGTTTCAAGTTACAAGTTACAATGTATCACCTGATCATGTATATTTACGTGATCGATATATACTTGTTTATTTGGGTACGTATTGAAAACTATTTATGCAGCAAATGGAAGCGAACGTGATTGTAAATTGTGTTCATCCTGGGATCGTTAGAACTGGACTAACTAGAGATCATAACGGCTTCGTTACAGGTAACTTTGCGATACCATGAAGTAATTAATTTCATTTATACAAAGCAAAATCATCGAAAGGTAAATAAAACAAGTTTTAAACTCGTAGCCAGGAGTTTGATCATGTAATTTCTATTTTATTGCATGGACAAATAAATAGTTTCAAGATGATAGTAAATATAATGCTAAAATCACTTGCAGATCTCATATTCTTTTTGGCTTCAAAGCTGTTAAAAACAATTCCTCAGGTAATATATTTTCTGGAGTCAATCATCTCTTTATATCACACACATGCACATGTATACCTGATGAGGATACACTTTGATTTCTTGAAAACAGGCTGCTGCCACGACATGTTATGTTGCAACTCATCCAAGTCTAAAAAATGTGAGTGGAAAGTATTTTGTAGACTGCAATGAAGCTTCAGCGTCGAAAGTAGCATGCAATGCAGAGGAAGGTGTTCGGTTATGGTCTTTCTCTGAAATCATGGTTTCTAATGAACCCAAAACAGTGGTTGCCCATTTCCATGGATTAGATTAATCTACTATACTGCATGTTATACCATCAAGTTAATTTAAAAAAAATCTAGATAATGAATTTTATATATATCACCAAATTAAAAAAAGATGTAGATACTCTATCACCATGTTATGGTTACAACATATACTCTAAAGAAATTATTAGAAAACTAAGAGCTGGCAGCTTAACATATACATATACCTAGTTTAAACACTTTGTCATGTGAAAAATAGTTCATATATATATATATATATGAGAGAGAGAGAGAGAGAGAGAGAGAAAAAGAGAGAGAGAGAGAGGGGGTTTTTAATTTGGAAATATAGCTCTTTTATATGTACTGTGTAGAGAGGGTTCTTTTCCATGTTAAATACTATTGTAATGCATATTAATTAACATATGGAAGTGTAATAAAAGCAAGAATAGATTTTCATAAATATTCTTGGTGTAGCTTCTTGTAATGTTATAGGTTTGGTAGATATACTTGTTGGGTAACCATGGCAATCTGGAACGGTTTATGCACTAATTAATTCCGGACAACCATGGATGGTACTTTACGGAGATGAATCTCAGTTCCCACAAGTGCTTTGGTTGCGTTTGGATTCAAACTCGAGGAAGATGAGATTTCTGTTGCATCTTCCTAATCTTAACGAGAACACCACAATCCAAATGGTTAACATGATATTAATTGGTTTACATCCGGAAGGAAGCTGCTTGTTATCTTGCATAATCATATTCTTTGCTTAACACGTTATACGAATTATATGCACAAAAATGCAATATTATGTATTTAGGCTCCACCTCTTTTATAAACTAGGGATGACTTTAATTAACCTAAGGGATTGGCCTTGTAGCTAGGTTAAGTTTGGGACCTAGCTAGCTTCATAAATGCTAGATACTGGCTACTGTTTGAAAGTCATTTCTATTAACTAGAAGGCCTAAATTTTGTGTACTTGATGTATTTTATAAAATGGATAATCACAAAACTAGCCTAAATAACCAACTTTCCAAAATATGATACAAAATAGGAGGTAAAAAGTCTCCCGTCTCACTATTCTCTATGTCCGACCAATAAAATAATTTCACCTCATTGCTTTTCAATAAATTAATTAATTTAGTATATATATATATATATGTCATGTTAACCAATTCATTGACGTTACCCTACAGCCTTAGAGTTCATAAATGGGTTCAATTCAGAACAACACGCAAAACGGGTTCCTGTTCGGTCCCTACGGTTAATATTGTTGTGGTAGTTAATTAAATCCTTGTGTTTGTTTGAGTTTTGATACATGTTAACTAAGCTAGAGTTAAAAGAATGATACAGATGCTTAGCTAGTAAAATCCTAAAAGTACATTTTTGTATTAATTAATATAGTATAGTACATATTGGCTGAAAAAATGAAGCTCACAAAAAGGTGGGGAGTTCGCAAAGTGGACGATTATGCAAAAAGTCTGAATAGTTGGCTACTTTGTGATAACCCTCAACTGAATTTAGCTACGTTTCTGATTATCCATTTTATAAACTAATTAAATAGAAAAAAAATACCAATAACAGTTTGTAATACATACATATATCTCTCAGGGAATTTGTAATATAGGAGTCGTTTACCCAAACGCTTACTCATAAACACTTATTGATAAGATTTAACAATCTCGCTCGCAGCCTTATCGGCTAATTGTTTAGTCCATCAAAGCGGTCTCATTTACCTGATAAGAGTCTTCACGTTTACTTACCAGATAAGATTTTTGATTCTTGTCATCGTTTTTACTGGATAAAATTCTTGGTATTATATATATATATATATATATATATATATATATATATATACATATATATATATTCTTATCACTTACCAGGTAAGTTACTTGATAAACACTTATCAGGTAAGCATTTGATAAACGACCCCTTACTCCTTGATTACATTGTTTCGGTCGGTTTATATCACTTTAATTTCATCATTGTATGATCGTTTCGTCTGGCATCAAGAAAAAGAGATGAACATGTCTTGTATCTTTCACATATCGTAAAAGTAAAGTCATACATAAGAAACAAAACCCTAAATCGTGAATTACATTTGTTTTTTTTTATTAACCTGGATATCCAACCCGCTATGCGAGTCGACTAATCTCAGGACAACCACATGCTTTGCTAGTAGCTCAGAGTCACCACATTTGAACCTCCGTGGCTACAAGGGGATTTTTATTTCTTCTTGTATTTGAACCCGAGACCTTCAGGTATATTGACCTTTGGAGTCCAAGCTCAAACCAATCAGACACCATCATTGTGGTTTAAATTTGGTTATAAACTAAGGAAATTAGGGTTAGTGTGTTAGTAGCCAAACTGGATTGGTTTTACGTAGGAAACCAAGGGAATAGTTGAGTGTTTGTCGTCCACATATTTGGAGTTAAGTGTGACGTGTCACCCAAAAAAAGGGCAGAAATAGGGTATGTGGGTTGGGCCATAGAGATGAAAGGCATGTTACTATTACTACCACACACACTTAAAAAGGCCCCCTACCGAATCATCATCCATGTTCTACCAATTATACGCATTCGTTTTCATATTTTTGTTTAATCCAATATAATATATAGATTGGATTCATGTGAGACCAGTCTATTTATCTGAATCTTTACAGTAAAAATATCGTGAATGTTACTTTTATAATGTGTTGTTTTGAAGTTTCAAGTGTAAAAAAGTGGTCTCACAGATCTCACGTAATCTCATGTCTCTCTCTCTCTCTCTCTCTCTCTCTATATATATATATATATATATATATGAGGTGGTGGTTTAATTTACAAATTCAAACGTCAGTTTAAATCATACAAACCAATTAATTGATTATCGATGATCATGTGTTGTTTTACATTATGAAACAATGTATGTGAAAAAAGTTGTGTTGTTTTACCATGTGATTATTTTGAATGTGTATTTCTTTTATCAGATTGTGAAACAATATTGTACTTTCATATTTAATGTTTCACAATATGAAACAACACATAATTATTGGTTCTCATGGTTTTCAATTTTTACGATTCTAATTTGATTATGTTATCATATATATATATATATATATATATATATATATATATATATATATATATATTAGAAGGGTACTCGCACAATGCAGCGAGATACATTTTCATTTATTGTTTGTCTCTATTGATATAATACGATTTATGTGGTTTTAAAGATAATGTTTTTACTTTTGAATAAAAATAAATTTGAAAAAAATATATCGATATTAATATTAAATTAATTATTTAAAAGTTTTTCATTTTTTATACAATTTCTTTAATTTAATTTAGGTCTAATAGCGAAGTAATTTATTTTTGGCTTAACAATAAATTTTTAATAAAGATAATGACTCTGTTAGAACTTAATGATTATCTTAATTATATTTTAGATTTTTAATATTTAAAATGAGATATTTATCATGTATTTGGCTATGTTCATTTGCAGTTAGTTATATGAATTCAAAAATGAAGCTTTAATAAGTTATATTTATGCACAATTTCTTTTTAATCTTAAATTTTAAGTAATATGCAATTAATAAACAATGTTTCATACATAAAGAATGATTTTTAAAAGTTTTTTGTTAAATGTTTTATAATATATATATATATATATATATATATATATATAGGGGCCTATTCAAGGGAGAACTGAGTTGTTTGTGGTAACTGTGAGAACCAATATTAACCACAAATCAATACATAAATTAGGAAATTTATAAATTTGGTAATTTTAAATTAAAATCTTAATGCAAGGATATTTT